GCCGTGAGCGGGCAGCCACCGCTGCGCTGGCCGCCAGCCGCGTTTGTTTTGTCCAGGGTAAGCTGGGCATCGAGGTTTGAGGATCGAGGTTCGAGGGGCAGGGTTTTTGGGGGGAGGTCGTCGGGCCTTTCTGGCCATCTGGGGGCGCCCTCGTCGTCGCGGCTGGATTCTTTTTGGGCATTATTTCCAAAGCGCATTGCATGACAGGTTTGGGGGTCGACCTTCGAGCTCCTTCCCCAGACATTCTTGACGTTTGGCTCAAGCAGTTCTGGCAGGAGCAATTGTGTTTCATGCCGTGCGAATCGGCGTGAGCGAGAAAAGTAAACATGCTCCCCTCCGCCTCATACTCAATTCTTTACGCTTCGCGTATCCCCACCAGCCCGTCCAGAAACGACGCCCAGGCGAGTAGAGGGTCGTCCTGAGGGGCTTTTCGGCGTCTTGGGTGCCTCGGGGGGGCCTCTTTGGGCCGTTTGGGATCCTCTTGGGGGCCTCCTGGGGGCCTCTTGGGGCCATCTTGGGGCCATCTTGGGGCCTCTTGGTGCCTCCTGGGCGCTCCTTGGGGCCATTTTGCAGGAAATCGATCAAAGAAGAGGGGGGTTTCAATTAGCGCTGCCCCCTCAGAAGGCCAAACTGGGGCCAAAACCTTAGTAAAATCAATGATTTTGGCTTCAAAGAAGAGGGAAGCTTTAATTAGCGCTGCCCCTTCAGAAGGCCAAAATGGGGCCAAAACCTTAGTAACATCAATGACTTTCGCTTCAAAGAAGAGGCGAGCATTTTTCTCCCTCCCCCTGTCGGGGCCACGATCCTCGTGAGGGGTGTCGAATTTTAGCCTTCCCAGGAGTCGAAAAAGACCCCTCCAACGACCCGCGAAAGGACCTCTCCAGGCCCAGGGGGAGGGGGTAGGGGGAGGGGTAAACCCCTCCCCGAAGGGGAAGAAGGGGGTTGAGAACAGAGCGGGCTCTCCAAACCACTCACGCCCAAAGGGCTGGTGGGATTAGAACTTAACTTAGTTTGCATGCAATGAACTGTCCGCGTGAACTGAAGCTGCGTTTTCTGCAGCTGTATAACTGCTCAAACCAGCCGACTTCGGCTGGCAGGAGAGAAAAGGAGCGCGCTGGGGCGCGCGGGCGATTCGTCGTCGTCCGTCCTCGGCCTTCCTCCTCCCTTCCTATTCCTGATAGAGTGGTTTAGCTTAACGGATGTCTGCTTTATCAATGGCTCATCCCGCCTCCGCTCTCCCTGAGCAGAGTGAACATGAGATCTTAATTCCTTTGTCATCTTACCCCGATTCTCAGAGGAAAGACTGGTTATCAGCCGAAGCGCGCGACTCAGTCGACGCGGGGCCATTAGATATAAAAGTAGACCTTTCAGTCGTGCCCCGCGATTCAGTCGCTGCGGGAGAGAGCTCTGATAATACTGACATCGTGTCTAATATCTCGAGAAGCGCTGAAGGGCGCGTTGAACAACATGATGGACGCGGTGCAGATAGCGTCGGTCCTATTCAAGACCGAATCTTCAACTATCGCCGATCGGGTCATGATGGGGGAGAAGTACCGATGGGATAACCGAAATGTCGGTAAACGTATCCACAGTAGGGGCTCCGATAGGTGATCGCGAGCAAACCCCCGCCCCTCACGGGCGAGAAGGCGTCGCGCCAAGGCCCAGGCGAGGTGCATTCTCTTCGAGGTTGAGTGCCAACTCGACGGAGCCGATAAGTCCCATCCAGAATGCTCCACTAGCTACTGCCATTGCCGCTGGTGAAGCCAGCCGGCCAGGGGAAGCCCAAGGGAATCCGAATGCGTATCCTAATATCCCCGTAGATTGGGTGGGTATGCATGTTACTGCCCCAACCCCTATAGCACTTAACGGACAATTCGGTCAGGATAGCGATGTATTTTTGACAGTATCAATAATGATATTTCCCTGAGCCGAGCGTTGTCCGTGATGATGGATGAAGGCATCCCTGCTCGAGACAAAAGCTGGTCTCCAGATGGATCCGATGAAGACGCCGGTATCCTGGCGCCTCAGGCGGACAGGGCGGAGACTCAAACGAAGCATGAGAGGGAGGCCACTGGGCGAACTCCTGCGCCTAACCTCAAGAAACAACGGAATGAGGACTATGAGCTAAACGTCTCGCCATTAAAGGAAGGCTTCTTCCGTAACGCTACCGCCTCAGGTGAGTGGCATCCCACCATTCCGGCCGTTGCTGAGGAGGAAGAAATGGTCGGACAACAGGATGTATACTCTCAGCTAATCAAACAAGACGAAAAGGATGAGGAGCTCTTAAATGCGCCCAAACCACCAGAAAGTAGTTTTACTCGCCCAAGATCGAACGCTTCGAGCAGGGGAAGACCCAAAATACCAGGATCAGGGGCCAGGTCTACTTCTAGGAGCAACCGTGCAGCTTCAATGATGGAGGTACGCTGGAATCCCAACCCTGGCTGTGCGCCTCGGGCGGATAACAGATGCCCAGGAAAAAAGCCAACAAGCCTGAAGGCGCATGTAGGAACCCAGCGCGCAGGAATTGCTCGGACGCGTGCAACAAGTGTAACATACAATGGCTGTGCACACAGTGCTACTCAATGGGCGAGCACAACTGCACGTACCTCTCCCTACAGTCGATTCAAGACCAGGCCAGGCTAGCAGAGGCTAACACTCAGATAAAGTTTCTGACTAATGAGGCGCATCTGGCTGAATGGGCTCGGTTGGACAGAGAAGAATTAGTTGAAACTGTGATCGAAGCCAGAAAAACGTTTGAGGCTGAGCGGATCGCCCTGGCTATGGCCGCTATCAGAAAGATAGAACATCTGTGCAATCAGACTGAAGCCGTGAAGTGGCAAGTGGAGAGGGAAGCAGAAGAACAATGCAGGGAATTGTTGACTTCGGAGAGACGGGCCGTCTTGATCGCGAACGAAGAATCTGCGGACGCCCACGCGGTTGCCGCTGCCGTCGCAGTGGCCAAGATAGAAGGAGAGCAAATCGCGACAGCCGTGGCGGAACGAGAAAAGCAGGGATTTCCAAGAAGAGCTCAAAGCCGCCAGGCTGAAAGCATACAGCACCCAAGCTGTAGCTGCGAAGATAACGAACCAGAACAATCTCTGTCTGGAAGATCTTAGATCGCATGAGGAAGCCAGATCGTCTCTTCAGGGTATAATGTCGAGCAACACTAAATGCCCGCCGGGTAAGCCGTTCGGGTCGAACATACACCAGCTATCGACGGCCCAGTCGTCGAGCATCGCATCTGCCCCTACGCAATTCGACCAGACGACCGTGGCAAATGCGGGGGCATCGACCATGCTGGTAGGAGGTGCAACGCGCCCTCCTCTCGATGGGAATGGAACCGCGCTTCCCGTGGACCAGTTTTGCGCCGTTTGTTTTCGTCCAAAGACAAACAACTGCGTCGGATGCGACAGCTCGGCTTGCGACGAGCATATCGATGTGAGTACGAGGAGATGCTCTAGATGCGACCTGCGGAAGAGTGAAAGGTCAGCGGCTAACATGCGAGAAGAAGATATTGCATTGAACGCGGCTAACAGAGAGATAGGAAAGATGAGGCTTAAGGCTATCATCACCGACCCGAATCCGCATACTGAAGCTAAACGCGAAATCGGACTCACATCGAAGTCGTTCGGATTTCCGCTGCTTTCGCAAGAACCCCCCGTGAGGCCGCTGTTGCATCTACACTATTATGTCCCAGGACCTGCCCTTGAGGGCCCGGCTAAGCCGAGCACCGCTGAGAATGGGCTCACTGCAGGGACGAGGTTAACTGGACTTAACGAAAATAACACTCTTGCCAATCTCCGCACAACCTATGGGCACGATCCTGCGGGAACGACGGCGACTAAGTCGTGAGGCAATGCAGGACAGGGCGGAGAAGATGACGACAAGAGCGACGCCCCCAACACTGAGATCGTATCTTCGCACGAAGATGACCGAGGTAGAGGACCACGAGGATCGCCTCCGGGGAGTCCAGGGGGGTCAGACCCCTCTGATGGTGGGGATGGACGCAGGGGCCCACAAGGCCCTGGCGGACCGCACGACTCGATAGTAATTGACGAGAGCACGCCGTTGGATCAGTGGAGACAGGTCGGTAACAACCAGAAAATTGATTTGTTGGACATCCCCGATGTTACGAACATTCGTGAGTGGAAAATGCACGCAATACGCGCCATCGTTAGGTCATCGCCCGAGATCCAGGCAGCGCAGCACTGGATTGCCGAGGCTATGGATCCAGCCGTGGAGGATGAGCAACTCAAAGATGCTGGACGATTCCAGCGTCTCGACCTTATGATCGCAACGAATCTTATCGAGAAGTTCAACAAGATGCGAAAGAGTCGATATCAGCCTCCTCATCATACTCACTTCCTTCAACAGGTTACTCGCATGGAATTCAGCGCCCAGGCCGAGGGAGGGCTCATGACTGGACGCGAGATGGTGCGGGCGATTTGTCACTGGTGTTCTGTAAGGTCGGAGTTGGGACAACATCGCATTTCGCGTGACCTCTTCAAAGTGAAGATAGACCCGCACAAGCCTGATGCTGATCTGCAAAATTTCTACAATGAACGGACAGACTTGTATGGGCAGCGCTATGGCGTCAAGCCTCCGTCCGATGAGATGAGGGCCTCGATTCATGCGCGTTGTCTTGAGCAATGCAGAAAGCCGAGCAAACTGGATTTTGTATGTAAATTATATGACTTGTCAAAAGACAGACCGGGACAAGGTGCCAAGACGTACGAGTGGCGGATGGAGCAGATGGAAGAAATGATGTTGCGAGAAAAATAGGAAACCACGTGCAGATACATTACCAAGGGCGAAACTTGCCCGCGCGCAGGAAAGGGCTGTCCCTTCAATCACAAGAAGCCCAAGAACGCCGCGCCGGCTCAGCCGAGCGCGGGGCGAAAGTCCAGCGCCGCCCCTGCCCGGGATAAGAACCCTAGAGGTGGATCAAAGGACAGGGGCCGAAAGGGGCAGGGCCGATCCCAGACCCCGACTGGAAATCG